TTGCTCCTTCCTACGTCGTGTGTCATCATCCTTGGCTTTTCCTCGTTCAGAGTGCAACGTGATACGACGAGAGACTCAGAGCCACGACAGTTCGACGGTGGCGCGAAATTCCTTGTCAACTTTCGACGATTTATTTCGAGATACGGAAACAGTGTGTCGTCGATTCGTCGGCCGGGACCAGTGTGCCCGCAAGAAGACGAAAATCGAGTATCGTACGAACAATATCCCGGATTCCGAGTTGGATCGGATCACGCTCGACGACGATGAGAACGTAGTCCTCGTTCTTTCGATACGCGAATTCCAACTCTCTCGATCTGCAAATCCGCAAAGAGGTTTGAAATCCCGAAAGATATCTGCCATTATTTCGAATGTAGGAGTACCATCGTAACGTGTGCGTGCGTAGACGAAAGACGAAGGCATTGCACTTGACAAGGCAGGCATTTGAAATTAAGGGAAGGGAAGACCGAAGGCCTCTGGCGACGAGTAATCCGCGAGAACAGGATGTTATTCTCGACCGATCGACAGGATGATCGCGATGCGGTTTAGAGGGAGCAGAATCGCGGCAGCCGGCGGTCGTGATTGTTCGCGATAATCGCGAAACAGACGCAGTACGATTTTTTCGTACCGCGGTGTTTGTTGTCGCATCCATCCGGAGACATCAAGGATGAAGAGGACGGTATTGGTACTACGCTGGACGAAGAGCAGACAGCCGAGAATCTGTCCGATGGAAGTGTCGATGTTGCGCTGTTGCCGGTGGTACAATACTTCGTGAACATCTTGATTTCCAATTTTTTGACGACAGTCGACGGTAGTCGAGAAGGAAAGGAGATTGGTGCAGACGAGCGGAGTCGAACGAAGAGAATAGTCGCCAAACGAATGACGCTTCGTTGAAGATTTATCGCGAGAGAGAGAAAGAGAGAGAGAGAGAGAGACGAGGGGAGAGATTATAAGCTATCGATAGGTGAAATCGAAAACACAGGGCAAGAAAAACAGAGAAGAAAAGCGCGTTAGATAAAGAGACAGAGACAAAGAGAGGAAAAGAGAGAGAGAGAGAGAGAGAGAGTGGTGGTGTGTGGTGCGTTCGGGGTGACCGAGGTGTCGACCTCACCCCCGATCAAACCAGCAAGCAGATCGGATGATGTGGGCGTCTCTGTTTTTGGCCGGGATCTTAAGCGGCTGGTGGGGCGCACTGGCGCTCGCTGCGGCACCCCCCGCCAATTGGAACACCCTCGAGGAGACGTCGACGAGGACCACCAGCGATCATCCGCCATCGATGAGCATCGCCGCCGTTGAAAAGCCCCTCGATTACCGTTTACCAAGTTGGAACTTCGTTACGCGAACTATCGGTAGACGTGAGCACCGAACAGCCGACCAGAGTCTCGCTCAACCGACGCGAGATTACAAATTACCGGTTGACAACGACGATCTTCTCCTTGCAGCGTCGCGGCTTAACAAACGATCCGAACAACTTCAACAGCAGCAGCAGCAGCAGGAGAGAGGATCCGCCTCCAACTTACAACTTATCGGCGAGAATGACAAACAACGGGTCGTCGAGTCAAATTCGTGGACGTACCGGCAGCACGATGACGAGGGTTCCAACAGTTATCGAACCGTCGCTTCGTCCACTTTCCCGGTGGGGAATCCAGGTTCGCAGGATGCCTCGAACAGGTACACGGAGGAGTTCGACGACTCGATACGCGACGTGTTCGTATCCACGTCGAAGCGGGTCGGTGGTGGTCGTCGAGGACTCGAGGACAAACCGACGAACGTTCGTCGTCCAAAACTGGAGGAGACAGGATTGACCCGGCCACCGCGTCACTCGTCGACGCAAACGCCGATTCTCTACTCGTCCGGGACCACCGAGTCGTCGATGGAGAGGCCGCGCGTCGCCCGATCCACGAAACAACGACCAAAGAACCGCACGAAAGCCGACTCGCCGAGAGAGCAGCGACGGAGATGCCGGAACAAGGGTTGCCGCGGTCAGAATTGGTGCCCGGACGTGGACGTCGGGAACAGGGCGTATCTGGCGCCAACGGTGTTCGAGGGGAAGGCGAGGAGCATGTCGTCCGTGAGGAAACCAGGCTCGAACTACGCGGTGACGTTCGAGGTGAAGCAAGTATACAAGAGCCAGCCTGGTTTCCAACCGTTGCAGAAGAACGACAGCGTTCGGCTGCACTTTCGCGACAAGTTGGCACCGGGCAAGTCAACCGTTTGCGGCTACGACACCGATGCAACAGGGAAGCAACAGCAGCAACAACAACAACAACAACAACAACAACAGCAACAGCAACGCGATAATCAGAGTGGTGTGGTGCGAGCCAATATTAAGAGGGGTAAAGTGTATCTAGTGTTTGTGAATCGCGTGGGACCCAGAAACTTCACGATCCTCGGTGAGCCGGTGATACGAAGCAAGAAGAACGAACAGGCGGTGCAGGCTGTCACTCGACCGGATTACGGTGAGTATACGATTCATCTCTCTGGCCCATTAATCTGTGAGAGTTTCGAACCTTCTCCACCGGGAAGGAGAGGAGTTCCTTGTATCGGCGACGATCGGCAGTTATTGCAGCTGCGTGCTTTTGACTCGCGACCCCTCCGCCAGTCAGTCTCTATTCTGTATTCTGCGTGTCGCCACTGCGACGTTACTACCACGCGAGAAGGGGTTCTATCGAAAAACGCGTTACACGCCGGCCTGAATCTCCGGCGAGAATATCTTTCATCGAATCGACAGATATATCCGCGATGGTTATCTCTCGTGTCTAGGATTTTTTTCATATCATATCCGTAGATGCTCGCGGATGGCGGAGCCACACCGCGACGTTTCTCCGATACGCTCGCATTATATACGACGGAAAAAGGCCGGTTTTGCCGGCTGTTAGAAACCTAATCCGGCACACGCGATTCCAGCCGGTACGAAACGGTGTGTTTCGGCTTCGGCAAAGAGTCATTCCGGACAAGTTAGAACCGTGAACAATAAATTGTAACCAAGCTTTGACGCTGTTACTTATCGTATCTGCACGACTCGTTTCTGGCTGGCTTCGAGTACGCCCACGTACGAGGAGAAGAGGTGCTTTCCTCGAGGCGCGTAATCGAGACGCGAACACGCGTATATTTAAACCGCCACGTAAGTTGGATCGCCTTCAAGTCGGCGTGCGTGCTTGCGTGCATACGTGCGTGCGTGCGTGCGTGCGTGATGTTCGCACACGTGAACACGTCCGCAGCGCGCGAGCCACCACTACTCGTCGGCACTTCGAAACGTTTGGCCTATCGACGACAACTCACCACCACGACAACAACGACGACGACGACGACGACCGCGATCCGACCGTTTCCACCGGAACTCCACTCGCCAGAGGCAGCGTAACGAGCCACCAGTTTTGAAGGTGGTCCAATTTGCTCGCGGTTCAACGTTCGTACTTCCCTGCACGTTCCCTCCGCGACAATTCCCGGCCAAAGACTCGTTCGCGCCGCAGTCCGACGACTACCGGCGGCGGCGACCTTCCGCGTCTTGATTTATCGCGGTGATCGTCGCGCACCTCGGCCCGAGATATCGAAAGAACCTCGTCACCGAACATCTGCGAGACTTTTCACGGGAGCTGACACGTCCCGTTTTCGCACGTGTGACCTTCCTTTTTGACCTGCAACGCACCCGACTCGTCTTCAGGTCTTGCCTGAAATTTTCAGGCACATAGAGATTTCGAAAGAAATTAATATTTTATTTGTTTGCAACGTTGTTGTCTTTCTTTTTCTTTTTCTTTTTTCTTTTCTTTACGATAGAAGGTTCCGTAGCAGAAAGTGCAGAATTTGTTTTCTTCTAATTTTTCGTACATTTTCGTACCATAATTACAACTTGCGTTTTCAAATGTAATTAACTGCGGCTCGAGTACGTGTAACAGGGAAGTGTGCTGTATTTACTTAAAATTTCCAGGAACTGGGAACTAGCTAGTTTCTTTGGAAGATTCGAAGCAACACGCTCCGAATTTTTCAGCGTGCGTGTACAAGCTTCGCCTTAATATTCATCGGTAGACCGCGGATGTTCATGCAAATTGAAATTTTGATGAACGCAACGCTTTCTAAAATATCGTGGCAGATACTTTATTTTTCGAATATTTCATCTGTTCTCGTGCGTTGTATGCACATCTTTGCCTGCATGCATCTTTGCGCCCGTGGATGCATAAAAATCCGATAGAAAGATCCTTAATCCACGCGGTCGACGATATCGAAATATTCGCCGGTCGATCGAATTAATCGCGACAGGGAATTCTATGCGTTGCAAAAGACAAGTTATCGATACCGAACGTAATCGCGCAGATAACAGGGAACCGTCTCGCCGTTCAATCTGCGTTCCAATGCGCGATTCTGCTCTCAACCGAAGAACGGATTTTTAATCTCGATACTAATTCTATCGTCATTCAGCGGAAAAAGCGCGAAAACAACGCTTTGCCGTACAACACGAGACGAGCTGTTGGAAAATGTTGGGAAACGTTGACGGGAAAGATGATCGATGGAACCTGATATCTAACACGCGTTAAACGAGAACGAACTAACGGCGTGAAATTGATGAAATCGAAACGGCGAGCCGACGGGTGGCTCTATTCGGGACACGTTCAGTTTCGGGATTCTGTTTTATTCATAAAGCGGGTCGCTTTGCAAATATCTCGAATATACTTTCCCCTTTTTTTGGTTTTCTTTCTGTTTTGGACCGGGGGCTGTTGTCGGTACGTGCACGGCGCGAAGGTGCACGGTCCCGCGCAAAGGGAGCAAAGTTCTTTGATACTTGTTCGGGAGCGACCCGGGCTCGAGCCTCGTTAGCGTCGTTTTCGTCGTCCACTTTCCTCGTCTCTCGTTTACCAGTTGGGAACTGTTGCGCTTGTTGCGCCCACCTCTCCGAACTCTCTTCTCACCTGTGCGTGTTACACACATTCGCCTTGACACGTATCGAAAGTTTTCGCGACTTATCCCATTATCAAAGCTTCGCGGAGTCTATCTTGTCTCGCGAAGAGCCGAGAGCCCGGAGCTCTGTCTCGTTCGCAGAGACAGAGAAGAGAGAGAGAGAGAGA